ACCTTCTTGGAACCTAGTTGTTCTCCTAATCAGTATGTGAGGCACCCTCTGTATGGCTGAGAAGAAATACTCCCACTCAGTGGGGACATTTCATCGCTCTGCCTTTCCAACTTGTCATTATGCTTCCTTACCGATCTTCCTTGGTCTTTCTCTCATGGCCACAAAAAATCTGTATTGGTTTTGATAAATAGAGCTCATAGCTACCTAGAATGGCAGTTTCTGTAAACTTTGCCCTTCAGAGTCCTTGACTGTATATTAGTAAGCTAGGAACATATTTAAAATTAGACCTTCCTCCCTCCTTCTTTCCAGAAAGCATGTGGGCACTGCGGTTTTGGCAAGTCTTCTGCGTTCATCCAGTTGAGCTGGGTTTCCAGAGGATGGCAAGAAACCACACCTCTTGACGCTAGCGAGGCTCAACGCTCAAGGCCTCCGTCTGGAGCTGGAAGTGCTCAGGAGCTAAACAGCTGCAAACCTTTTTGATGGGAGCAAGACCTCTTTGTGTCCCTGTGGATTTCTTTCTTTTCTGTTTTCCCGCCCTGCCCCCCTACTCCCCACCCCCACCCGCCTGCCCCCGGAGGCCTTTTTAGCAATGCCTGAGCTGTTTCCCTTGGAAACACCTGCTAAAAGCAAAGGGCCAGAGAAGCAGAGTACTCCACCAGAGCCAAGGTGCATCTGGCCCAAACGTCGGTCTCCAAAGGGGCCAAGCCTAGCTATCTCCAGGCGAGGCCATGAGCAGTGCGGGTCTCGTTCTGCCAGGGTCCTGGGGGTGCTCGTAGGCCTCACTGGCTGGGACCGGCCTCCGCCGGGACCCTCACCCACAGCGTCTCCTGCCAAGGTCCCCGGGGACGGGGTGTGTCAGCTCAGCCTGGGGCCTTCAGTCCTTGCCTGAGCCATGGTGTAGGTGTGCCCGTCTCTGCCCCTCTCTCCTGGATGGGCCTGTCCCCTGCCCTGCTGTGGAGAGGGCTGCTCTCCTGGATGGACCCCTGCGACGTAGGTCATAGCCTGGCATGCAGCGCTGTAGGCATAACATAGCATCCCTGTTCCCTTCTCTTCTCTTCCATTCCCTGCCCTCTACCGGGAGATTCTTCTTTTCCGGAAATGCCAGGGGGGTTTCATCTCCAAAGGCACGTGCGAGGACACAAATCAGAAAGGTTACAAGTGGAATCCTGATTTTATGAGTAGCTTTTATTTGATGTCGTTGTAGGTCGGCTTGTGTTCTTTTTCTGAATCTGTTGGAGAGCCAGTGCTCACCAGCATTAACACCAGGCGCACGTGTAGCCAGGAGCAGGCTGACGCGTTCTTCAGTGGAGCTTGACAAACCATCCCTTGCAGTGTGGCAAAGGCAAGGCCCAGAGCCACAGAAAGTAGCAGCAGGACCACAGGCCCTTGGAGTCCCTGTTTCCTGAAGCGTGAGAATCAGGACCAGCCACCCACAAAAGAAGAGGAATCACAGACTGACAGAATGACCAAATGGCAGGGGTTGGGAGGGACCTCTGGAGATCATCTAGCCCAACGCCCCTGCTAAAGCAGGTTCACCCAGAGTGGGTTGCGCAGACAGGCCATGGTCCATCCAGGCGGGTTCTGAATATGTCCAAAGGAGGAGACTCCACTACGGGTCTACGGTAGCTGTGCTCCCCTGCTAGAACGTCCAGACAAGCTCAAGAAGAAGAAGGGGAAGAAGAAGAAGGAGAAGGAGATTGGGTGTGTGGTCCCGTGGGGTATTCTCCAAAGTAGGACAGCTAGCGATGACAAGCACGCTCTTGGCCTTCCAAAACTTGCTGGGCTGTGCGTCTTGGCCAGTGATGGCCGAAAAGCGCTCTGGTGCCTGTCCCGCGCTGGTGTTGCACGCAGGGCGAGCTGAAAAGTGTCAGCTGGTGGTGGTGCAGCAAGCGTGGAGCCCTTGGAAGCGCAGGCTGTTGTTTTGCACAGGCAAGAACCCCTGGGGAGATGGAGGCAAGGGCAGAGCAGAGCTGGCTCCCGCTCCAAACTTGCGGTGGGCAAGAGAGGGAGAGAGAGCCAGGGCAGGCGTGGCGCCTCGTAGGCGCCAGGGCAGGGGTCAAGAAGGAGCCGCAAGGGCCCAGAGGAGCCCTGAGAACAAGGGGCCGTGCTCAATGCTACAGAGGAGAAGAAGCAAGGCCCGGGGGCCCCCCTGGGGCCCCCCCTGGGACTCTCGAAAGCTTCCTCCCCCCGGATGCGGGGCACGAGGGCCACCTGCGTGGAGCAGGAGCAGGCGGCCCCCAGACAAAACGGGCCCGA